TAAGTTGCCTATTTTATGGCGAGTTGAATATATTATTTTATTCAGAGTTTTTCATTTGAGTTAAAGCTTTGTATTTCAGTTTCATGAATTTTAGTCAGTTTTTAAGTTTTGTATGCTTGAATCAGTTTTCCGCTTGTAGTCAGCAAGGATGAGGGTTCTCTTGGGGACCAGCAATGGTTCTCGAGTGCCGGCCACGTCTAGGGTGTAGGCTCGGGTCGTGACAAGTATAACTCAATTATTGTTTATTACACAAAATGATCATTTACTCTCTTTTTTTTGTTGGCGAAGTACATTCGGCCATTCCTTGCACATTTTGATAATTTCTCCAATTGCCCACTTTCTAAAAATTTACAAATAATTCTAGATTTAACTGTAGACACTAACAAATCGATGAAAGAGGTTTATGTCACGCTCCGAACCTACACCCTAGGCGAGACTGGCACTCGAAAACTATTGTTGGCCCTAAGCGAACCCTTGGCCTGACTTACTTACTCAGCGGAAGACTTAAACATAAGAAATGTACTCATGCAATAACTTAAGAGATAATAACTTAGCCAAAAATGGCACCTCAATTCTTAAACGTATACAGCTGGAATGAATAAGACTAAAGAACTACAACTATTTGTCTATGAAGCCTCTAAAACAAAGAGGGATGTCGGGACATGACCCCTGATCATCCTAACAACTGAAAACTAGAAAGCAATGTAAAAAGGAGCCCTCCGGAAATTAGTAAGGAGGCTCACCAACCAACTCTGAGTGCTCAACTGGATCAACGAGGTGCTGGATGTTGATCCTGGTTACCTGCGTCTGCATCATAAGACGATGTAGGCCAACTGGCATCAGTACATTGAATGTACGAGTATGCGAGTTGGAATGCTAAACATAACATAGGCTTGGAAAGAATCTTAAAGGAACACTTACCTTGGATTTACACAACTTATGAACAACTTAACTCAATATAAAATAACAAAACACATGCAATATATAGAAAGATTTTAAAATAGTAGAAAGCCACTCAGTTCGTTAAAGAAATGAAATAACAAACTCAACTTTAATCATGTAATAAAGTAATATAGTTTTTGTGGGAGTTTCTCTAACCGACAACCACCACTATGAGCCTAAGTGGTGATATAACGTCTTGCCCACGCTGCCAGAACTGTCCTATAATTTGTCGTCATATAGAACGCTTTAACTAAGTGGATCCACTAGTCTATGCTAAAAAGCACTTAAGGAGTCATCTAAAAAGTATGATCATTTACTACCCATGATGGCTACATGGTTTATGGAGACTTGAGTTAATATGAACTCGCATCCCCATATCGGTGCTCAATACTACTCCCAAAATATACTTAGCTCATATGTTTTAAAACAAAACTTCTTTCTTTGGTTTGAGATAATTACTTAAAACTTAGCTTAAAATCTCTCTTGGAAATCGGTGTTTCCCTTTCTTGTTCAAATGTGAAAACATTTTAAACTCTTGGGAATACTTACTTCCCTTATAACATTTGGAGAAATGAACTCAACTCTTTACTCTTTGCTTAACTTAAAACTTTAGTCTTAGAACAAAGTTAAAACGTTTGTGAAAGACTTTTGAAAAACTTTATGAATTTCTCTTGACTTGATTCTTGACTTCTAAACTCACTCTTAACTTTCCTTGAATTGAATTATGGATTCAAGGTTCATGATCTATGTTTATGGAAGATTTCATGATGTTTAGATGTACTTTAGAGTATTCGAATCAACTAGGAAGTGTTAGTACACTTTAAAAGGACTTAAACGGGCTATAAAATGAAATGAGGTGAAAAACGATGATTCGGGCGCATCCCTGGCGCGCCGCGCCAGACCAAACTTACTGGGAATCCAAAATGGTGCACCGATGGTGCGCCTCCCCAGCCTGCCTGGCGCTATAGGGGAGCGTCACACCAGCCTTCCCTTCAGGCAAAAGCCGACGAACTTTTGGTCTCATTTTTTGATCTTTAATCGGTTAATTTCGATTCCTTTTCTCAAATTCACTTTAGAATCAAATACCCAAGAAATATACACAAAATCCTAACTCAAACAACTCAAGGAAGCAACACTTCAATAACAAGAAACTCCTTAATCTCAACTCATGTTCAAGAACGAAAGTAATTCAAGAACAACTATCAAGAACATTCAAATTCCAATCTTTTTCGAACGAATTAACGCTGAATCAAACATGCTTGGCACGTGGGTGAACAAACCCAACGTTATGAAAGTCTCACATACCTTGTAGGATTAAATCCTTGTCGAAATCCTCAACTAAATTGTACGATCTTGACGAATTTTGTCTTTTCTTCTCCTTTCTCCTCTTTTCTCCTTTCTCAAAGCCCTAGTGTGAAATTTCCAATTTTTCCTAAACTGATCAAATTGTGATTTGACCCTTATTAAACTCTTAAAAACGAAATAAACTAATAGGGTATGGAAAAGACCAAAACACCCTTTAAAAATCCGGATTGGACATTTCCTTATTTGAACAGCCCAACTTCAAATGGACATATCTCACTCATACGAACTCAGAATCACGCAAACTTGGTGGCGTTGAAAAGACCATTCCAAGATATTTCCTACGATATCTGGAAATACACCTAACTCATTCTGAGCTAGTAGTTATGACCGTTTGAAGTTGACCAAAACTCAACTTAACATACTTCACAAATTTTCCAGATTTCTATTCTTTCCAAAAATTGACTATTTCCAATTCTTAACTTCTTCCTAGTTCTTTCAATTTGCGAGGTGTTACAATTTATTCGGTTTAAAATTTGATCTACTACAGATGTGAATCATTTTGAATAAATAATATATTAAAAGACTCAAAATATTGAGAGGAGCTCATATTTAAAAATTTGGGATTGGTTAGAAGTGATTTGAGTTGATCGGGATTAAAAAAACCAGCTTGTGTAGGGAAGTTGAACTATTAAGGTTTATAAATATTGTATAAAAAGTGTACATGGATGTATGTACATTTCTGATACATAGTTATACATCATATATACTCGTTTATATATTCTTTATACAATACCGATCCATTACATATACATACAGTTATTAATTGAAATTACTTTTGGCCAGTGGTATATTTACGCAATCCCTTTAAAATAGGCAGGTGTCTAACGCCTGCAAATTCGAGGGCCCCTATTATTTTCTCAGTAATAAAAGGCTATATGTTTTTTTAAGAGTACCGATTTTTTGGTTTGTTTATTGAGTATTATTTGTAGAAAAAGTAAAGTTTACATACACAAAATAAATATTATTAGAAGTTTGACATATCTAGAGTACTAGGTCTCAAGAAATATTAAATGAATTGACTATATTATCAATTGAAAAAGAATTATTAGAAAAAAAGAATTGATTATGAGAAAACTATTAATTTTGCATCTCAAAAAGTTAGGACACACTTCATAAAAAAATATAATATTTTTGGAAAAAGTTAAAGGCGTCTTTTTGTATTTAGCTTTAGGCCACCAGTGTGCTTGAGCCGTCTTTGCTAATACTTAATAGGACCAAAAAAACATAAGTAGGGACAATGGGACAGGGTGAGTTTGAGTTTTTGCGGAGGCATGGTGGGGCAGGTTCAATTTTTAAAAAATCAGGTGAGCCTGGGCAGGTTAACGATTGCGAATTGAAATTTCAAACTAAAACTAAAACCGAAAATCATTTCAATCAGGTTGTTATTAATTAGGATTCCTTAATATCAATCCATCTATTCCAATGGTTTTTAATGGTTTTCTTAGTTTATCAACTGTCAATATTAAATCAAACATAAACTACTTTCACTATTCGAATTAGATATTCATCAATAACTATAAGAAAGAGTAGTAAAAGTTGCAATTTTTTAGCTATGATGTAAGGAAAAAATCATTTATAAATTCCAGTCTAATATGCCCATTCTAAAAGAGAACATGATAACCATTTTGAGAGGGGGCAAATCAGCAGAGGAGAGCTCTTTCATGTAAATATTATGTTTTCAAGCAGATAAGGAAAAGAATGCACATGTTGCTCCTAAGCTGAGCGGGGCGAGTTAGAGTCTTCACAACTTTATGCAGGTTTGCCCCGCTCCATTTGCCATCCCTAAACAAAAGATACCTTCTCACAGAAGTCAAGTTTTAGAAGGTTGGCATTTCTTACATCTATTTAAGAATATTACATATCACATATACAAGTTCAACCCAAAAATTTGCACGTCACTCGGCACCAAAGCTGCAACCAACATAATTTTGGGTGATTATGTTAAGACGATTTTGCATGACATCCACAGATGGATAAGGAGGGAAACACAGGCGGTAAAAGCATGTGTGCGAGGAAGGCAAGCAATCATGAGAGTCTGAAGTTCGGTAGATGTGAAGTTTAGAATCTAGACCACCAAAACCCTCAACAGGCAGAGACTTGATTGAAGTCCAGAAGAAGTAGAAGCACATATCTCTGCTCAGCCGACATACTTCCAACTATCTGCAGCAATAGAAAAGAAAACTTTGAAAATGTTGTCGGGATAATAACTTTGAAAGAGTTCAGAAATCTACCACATCCGAAAACAATAAAGAAAGAGAAGATCAAAGGGGCCAAGGTGTAGACTTCTCGATAGTTAATTCTCTGAAACATACTTAGTAGCCGACAAGAAATAAGTACCTCCCAGAACCAGGATATTTGAGGATCATCTTTTTTGTAGCCATTGTAATTTGTATGCTCTTCCCAGTCTTCTACAGAAACCGCTGTTTTACTCCCATGAAGAATCCTGTTAAGGTCTTCATGATCAAGGATCCGGTAAAAGGATTCTCGGAGCCGTTGGTCAATAATTATGTCACCAAAACCTTGAGCAAAATGGGCTACCTGACGAGTAATTGATGTGACAAAACGGTGTTTAACAAGAAGATTCACATAGTTATCCCTATTCTGACTGTTCACTATCATATTTTTCCCATTAGGGTAAAGCTCCACTACTTTCCTGGATCCCAATTCTTCATCTTCACAAACAAATGTTAGGCCTAGTATATCTTCAGTATCTTCTTGCAGCCACTGTACAAGTAGGGATCTGCATCCCTAATGTCTTCAAACGAAATATCCTCTCCAGCTAATTGCAAAAAGAAAACACGATCAAACGCAATGCTTATTTGTACTCTATACAACAAGGCCAATGCAATAATCCTGCCGGAGAAGACAAAATACTCAAGGTGCAATGCTGCAAGCACAAATGCAGACGAAGGTTATTTGCATTGTAGCAGAGAGAATAATATTACTTTCATAAAACATCAAAAGATTGTATCAAACAGCTTTCTAGTTGCAACCATCTTATAGATGTAGCTGTGCCATACAATCCAAGTATACTAATGAGGAAAAAGAATGATAATACAACTAGTAAATACTCATTCATATGCCATACAATCCAAGTAAACTAATGCACCTTCATTGAGAAAGATATCTAACTAGAACTGCAATGCCATAAATAAGACAAACTCTTTCGATCATTACTTCATGAACTTTATCTGATTGCCTGGTGTGATTGGAGAATCAGAGAACCAAAGGACATTAATAATAACACAACTAAAAAAATATACTAACATGAGAACTAAATCAAGACAAAATTAAATTTAAAATCTCAGCATGTTAGAATGGCTTAATCTCCTCAAGCAGGCTGGCAAAATTAAACAAAAACTCAGCTTTTCTGCTGGACAGTAAATGAACTTATGAAGTCAAGTATGGTATCAATATCATTTACATTTGAGTTCAAAACTAACATTATATTCTTTCCTTTCTCGGCGAAGTATCATTGAATCTTCTCTCTAGATGATCCATAAGATTGCTGCCAGAAGGGAAAAACCTACCTTTGATCAAGAGTGTATAGCAAGACTTAATAGTAAATAGACCATTTGTTTGTCCTTCCCAATCATAGTATCAGTCTTGGGCTGTACTTTGGGGCTGCTGCTCAGTTGTTCTAAAAGTTGTCCTAGTTGTTTCTTCCTTCTAAGGAGGATTTTCTATCCTTCTTTTGGGTCCGCTACATAGTTAAACAAATCTGAGAAGGGGAGTGTAGCAGTGGTTTGATACACGAAAAGATGCTAAACAATCTGAAATTCCGTTTTTAGCGGGTATTATCTTTCCATATCAGGATCTGTTTTTTTCCGTATACTCAACCCTTGAATAATGAATAGTTCATGTTTCTGTAGTTCCTTCCACAAACCTCCAATGTGTGTCCTCAATCCTTTCGAATTACTAAAATTTATGTAGCAACGAATCAGTAAAACTCTCAGACATGGGTTTCATGAAATAGTTGAACCTCAAAGAATGCTATGAAGGTATGAACACAAAGAGAGATAATACGTATACTCATACTCACAAAGATTCAACCTCTATCTCATACTCTTAATCTATTTTTGAGGAAAAATCAGATATAAACATCTTTCATACTCGACAACTTTAGATCAAAAAATTAACAGAAGGGATAAATGAGAACAAAATGTCACATTTATGTGTACATAAAGGCAATAAAAGTTTACCTGGATTTGGGAAAAACCTTCTACCGTCATTTGGGCATGAAACAAATAGAGCATTTTGAGGGTTGAAAATGGCTTCACATACCAAGGAAAACCACTCCCTCAACACACCAGGCCCGGTAGCTTCTTCATTCTCAAATTGAATAAATAATTGACCTCGCAGAGACCTAGGACTAGCATGTCCAATGTACTCAAATGAGTCTTCAAACAAACGAGACCTGCAAATGAGCATCTCGTAAAGCTCCTCGTTCTTGTGCCTCCCTTCTAGAAGCATCTTCAAGGCAAAACGGACCAACAGCCTATAATAGGCTCACCTCTTCCTATGTTTACCAAACCCAGCTGGCGTTCCAGTTCCTTCAGACAAAGCTCCGATTTTTCCAGCAAGTCACAAAAAACATGATGCACGCCTTTAATCTCAGATCTTTCATTTCCTGCTTCATCTTGCATCAAGGAAGGGAAACTAACCAGACTGCCAAATGCTTTTTGACGTCGTATTGCACACTTTACCCGATGCATGAACTGAATAAACTCACGCACATCACTCTCTGATAACTGTATAAACTCAGCTAATTGCACACTCAATTCCAAAGCATGAGATAACCTTGTTGCCAACTCATGAACAAAAGGGAAAATATCCTGCAATCTTAACACATGCTTAACATCATGGACATTCCTCTTCATCATTGCAGCTAAACTACTACGGCAAAATATATATAAAGTATCATCAACACCCGCAGCCCCTCTTAGAATCGTACAGAACTCGAAGAATATTGGAGCAAACTGCCTATATACGGTTGTAGGATCGGTGAAAAGTATCTTACAGTTATCTATAAATTGACAAATGCATCCATGCGCAGCTTGTTTTTTAATTACAGAAGGAGATACATAAAGTTTTACCATGGCCGCAGGAACAGAGAAGTAAATAAATATTTGGAGATATTCCTCTGATCCATCTGCGCCATCCTTCGGGGTATTTGCGAGAAAATCGGTAAGCATCTTCGTCATACGGGTAACATTAGCATTAATATCTGTGTCGTCATTGCAGTTGCAGAGGTCATGAATAACCAAATTCAAGTCACTCATCAGTTGCAGGGTATCGTCATTTTGTACGCCACATTCCGATAGCGTTTGGGACAACTCAAGCTGTTTGCCGCGGTAGATTAATCGCTGTTCTATTGCTGGTTCAGCAGAGGTCGATCGGATTGGTCGAATTCCGGTGATGGAATGGATTTACCAGTGAACTGATGTAACTGTATCAGACGAATAGGCTTGAATGACCAGGGTTTTGCCGCCGGAAAACATACGGACGAAGAATTGAATGGGAGTTTTCAGAGAAGAATTGAAGAGGATTTCGTTATGTCTCATCCTGGCTGTGCTGGCAGCGGCATAATCATTGAACTTGCGTTTGGTGCTAGTTTCGTGAGGTAACTGGTACGCCATTGATGAGCAAGAAGAAAAGAGTTTTGAGCTCTGCACTAATTTTGAACATACGTTAAAGAGGAAGTCAAATTTGTCTTGCTTGTTAAGACTCACCCTTCCTCCACCTGTGCACTGATTTTAAACTATTTTCCTTTTTGTCTATTTCAAATATTTTTTATTCTATTTTAAAAGGGAAAATGCATAAGTACCCCCCAACTTATGCCCAAAAATCCCTGAGACACACCTAACCTTTACTAAGGTCCTATTACCTCCTCGAACCTATTTTTTAATTAATTTTTTACCACTTTTCGGCTTACGTGGCAATATAAACCAAATAGGTTGAAAACTTTGTTCAACACGCGCCGGGCCCCACTTTTCAACTTTCTGAAAAGTAGCTTTTACACTTCCCAAAATTTCAAAAAGTTATCACTTTTATGGTTTAGATAAAAATATTATTTATAATCTACTTTGTTAATATATTTTTAGTTAATTTATAGATTTCAATGTTTATATATTTTCCCTTAAAAAAATAATTTGATGCACTAAATTTCTGCTATATAGAATAAATTAATGAAAAAATTTCAATGCAGCCAATAATAATTACTCTATCTAATAATAATTGTCTATTATTGACTTGACATAAAAATTAAAAAGCAATAAATAATCACATTAATTTATCAAATCATGTTTATTAAATATATAATTCATCTAATATTAAAAATGAATGGTATATAATAGCAATAAAAAATTAATAGCAGAATTTAGAAAAAATAAAGTGAAAATTCTTATAATCATTTAGAGTGACTTTACACGTGTCAATCTAAGATGACTCACGGATTTAGTGGCCGAGAGAATTGGATATTTACTTTGTTTTGGCTGTACTTTCTTTTTAGCCTTTTGCTTTAACGGTGTCGTTTGATAGATTTTATTAATAAAAATAATATATGCGTTAATTTTGTGTATATGTAAAATTTAATTTTTATTGTATATTAAAGTGTATATTACTAATATATTATAAAATTTTAGACTTAGTAATATATATATTATTTATACAATATAATAATTTATATAAATCTTATCAATATACTTTATATTATAAAATTTTAGACTTAGTAATATATATATTATTTAGTAAAATTTTAGACTTAGTAATATATAACATTATTTTTATATATCTATTAAACGGAACGATTCATAAAATAAATAGACGTAAATAATACTCCGTTTAGTTGCTGAGTCTCCACACCACATTTATGACTCCAACGTCATTTTCTTATAGTATGATAGATATTTGTGTGGCTATAAATCATTTTATTGAAAGAAAAATAAATATTTTAAAAAGTTAAATTATTAATTAATATAAAAATATGTCATTCTCGAGACTCACTAAAAAAATAATAATCATAAATCATATAAATTGATACGAAGCTACGAAAGGAACATAATTCCTCCGAGGGATAGCAAGCGGTGCGAATTTAAGGTCATGCATGATAGAGTCAATGTGATATGTGAGAGAAGTTAAATTAAGTATGATATTTAAGAAATGATGTTTCAAAAAAATTATAAAAAGTAAATTATATTATTTATATGCTATAAATTATTTCACGATGAATAAAATAAAAAACTAGAGTTAAATTATTATTATTTTTGTTTCAATTTTTTGTTTTTTGAGAGTTAAATAATTTTAGTTTGACTAAGAATTTTTGCATATAAAATATTCAAATTTTTTGAAATAAAGTCTTCAATTTTTTAAAAATAAAATTTATATATTTATAAACTACGTAAAAAGTACTATACGTCATAATAATTGACAATTTAAAATATATAAAAAAATTATAATTAAAAATAAATACGTCATAATAATTGACAATTTAAAATATATAAAAATTTTATAATTAAAAATAGACTAATTTATTTTGAATCTCAAAATTTAAAAAACACCACATAAATTAAGAATGATATTAGATATAAAATAAACATAAATTAAGATGGAGAGAGTAAACCCTTACACTAAAGTAGCTTATATTACTAGTATTATTTATTTTTTCCAAGTTTATTTTAACACATGGCCAATTTTTATTGGTCAGTGTTGTCTAAAAACTGCCCCCCACGCGCCTAACATAGGTGCAGTCACGGACTCAGCCACGTAAGCCGAAAAGTGGTAAAAAATTAATTAAAAAATAAGTTCGAGGGGGTAATAGGACCTTAGTAAAGGTTAGGTGTGTCTCAGAGATTTTGGGCATAGGCTGGGGGGGGGTACTTATGCATTTTCCCATTTTAAAAAGATATATTTTTTTAATTTTAGCTTTTCACATGTATATTTAATGTCATAAGATTAAATGTTAGAGGAGTATTCTCAATCAGACAAAGAAGTCAAACAATCCAAAATACTCCCCCATTTTATACTATTTTCCTTTTTTGTCTGTTATATATATATTTTTTAGTCTATTTTAAAAAGATAACTTTTTATGACAATATTTTATCTTTAGTTTTCTACATGTATATTTAAGGTCATAAGATTAAAGGGTTATTTTGATACATTTGACATAATTTTAATTTAGAATTAATGTCTTCAAATAAGTTTTGTTACTCTTCTTTGAATAATGTCTTTAAAATGACCACATATGAAATTTGCGAACTTCAGATTGTAAGACCTGAAATAAAAAAGAAATGTGTCAATAGATGAAATCCAAAGTATAAAAATATCAAGTAGTGTGACTAATCTGAAAACTTACAAGTAAGAAGCATTCATTTTTTTTGTGCCATCAAATAAAAAAGATGACAAAACGAAGAAGTGAATTATTTTTAAGACGAGGGGCAATGGAATGATGAGTTGCTAAGACAGAAACTAACTCACTGTCTTGTTGATTAATGGACAACATCAAAACAAATAAAACAACACTTAGAAAGAAAAGAAGACCAAAATCTCAGGTGGAAAATTCAGTCTGATAAAAACAAGCATATTGCAGAAAATCAGATCAGGTGGAAAATTAAATCTGGAAATTGTAGTTTTTGGTTGGATAGTTGGCTAGGGGAAGGGGCTTTGGCTTGCTACAACCCATCTATTTCTATTCTTAATAACATAAAAATCTCACAATTCATCCTTGATGGGAATTGGAATGAAACTATGGTCAGACAACATGTTCCACCTCTTCTGGTTCCCAAAATTCTCAACACCAAAATTCATTTTCATGAAGGAGGTTCTGATGTGGCTATTTGGAAGCTCAAGGATGATGGCTTATTCACTTGTGCCTCAGCATGGGAGTTTACCAGGCAGAAGAAGAACAAAAATATCATAATTACTTTCAGCTGGCACAAAAATATTCCATTCAAAATTTCCTTCTTACTATGGAGAGCTTTGAGGGGAAAATTACCTACAAATGAAAAAATCAGAACTTTTGGAAGGGAACCAGTATGCTGTCACTGCTGCTTAAATCAGGTTGGGATGATATTAACCACATTTTTGTTACAGGGAATTTGCTACCTATATCTGGAAATATTATGTTGCCTTTTTTGGGATCAGTCACAGACATATGCCCCTGGGAAATCTTCTGATGGACTGGTGGAGTGGGAAACCAAAAAATTCAGCTCACAAGTTGTTAGTTCAAGTAGTCCCTATCATTGTGTGCTGGATCTTATGGAAGAATAGATGTTCTTCTAAATATGGAGGGAAAAAATCCAGCATCTCGAGGGGTTAAATTCTTATTTTCAATGACACTACTCAACTTATGTCCATTGTTTTTCCTTATATACAATGGTCTAATAGTTGGGAAACTCTTATTATTATGATGGAAAGATGTGAACATGAGATTAAAATCACCTCGGTTTGTTGGTATAAACCTCCTAGCAATTTTCTCAAGCTCAACACAGATGGAAGTGCCTTGAATAACCCGGCAAAGATAGGAGGGGGTGGTATTTTGAGAGACTACCAGGGAAACATGATTTATGCATTCTCCATCCCACTAGGCATTGGTACGAACAACCAGGCTGAGGCACAAGCAGCCACTCATGGTTTACATTGGTTCATACAACATGGATACAAAAACATTCTGCTTGAAATTGACTCGGAACTTCTGATCAAATGGTTGAACAACAACAGCAAACCTCCTTGGAAACTTCAACAGGATATCAAGGACCTCCAAAACCTCATCAACCAGTTAGAGACATTTCAATGTAGACACACTTATAGAGAAGCCAACTGTACTGCAAATTACCTCTTTAAATGGAGCCACCATCATATTCAACACTATTACACTCATCATCAACTTCATAATACAGCTAAGGGCAGCTACATTTTGGAGAATCTGGGGATGTCTAACTTTGGAAGAAGAAAACTAAGGAGAATCAAACAACCTCCCTGAAGGTTGATCTTCTTTATTGTATAGAACCCTCTATACTCATTTGTTCCTTAACCTTTTCAATATAGCTATGCTTTTTAGTTATAGCTCTTTTGAATAGGATTAGGTTTTATTTCTTTTCTTACTTTGTAAGGGGAGAGTCTCTGTTGTTTAATGCTTACTAGTTAATGTGTAATGATAGGAGTCCTCTCTTTTAGGCGCATAGTTAGCAGGTTTCCGTTTATACTATGGGGATGAGTTGACTGTCCTTAGTAGGAAAAAATATTTAAAAGTCATCAAATGGAAAAACAAAAATGATTAAACACCTGAAAGATGCTCTAGAATAATAAACTGAGGTCATTTAGCACTCTTCTAATACTAGCACTTAAAAAGCTAATGTTCTCTGCACATTAGCTTTCACTAAAGGGGATCAATCACAATGGGAAATGTGGAAACCTACGACGAGCTGCACATTAGTTAACACCCTGGGGAGGAAGTAGTGCAAGTGTTATGAGATATATCAACAAGAAACACAATGGTGGAAAGCTATCAGATGTGATCAAAACAACAAAAAGGGCTTTCCAGGTGTTGTGCAACATGTTCAGGTGTTGTGAGATATATCAACAAGAACTGACAATTAAATAAAGCTATAACGCTTAGCAGAAAAACATTATTTGATATGTA